ATTTTCATCACGGCTGAATTTATGGTGCAGATACATAATTGGAAAATTTTTAGACAAACTGTTAGACTATTAGCTGGAAAATGTTTCAGTTTGTGATACCAGCATTAGATTTTTGCACGTATCAGCATCTGCCGAATGGCATCTCTTTGATTTTGAAGTACAATTTTCCAATGCGTGTTTCAGGTTTTACGAAGAAGTTAGGCGACGTGCTGTTTATCGAGCAGGCGTCGCTTATGTAAAGGCTTTCTTTAAGGTTTTCCGAGTACTCGTTAAAGGGAGTTTTTCCACCATTAAAGAGCCAAATTTACATCTGTAATTACAACGAACCCAGTGTCGTCCAAATCTAGATACAATTAAAGTAGAGAAGTGAAGTTATAGAATCATAATCCGCACATACCAATTTCAACATCATTTGGTATTTGATCTGGTCTTAACATGCCTCTTCAGCTACAATATATGTGTAGATGTAACTACAATGATTTTTGTATTTCGTTTTTCTATAGTAATTTCACGAAGTTTCTTATAGTGTTAAGGTGAAGAACCTGAAGTAATGGTTTCATAGATCGACTTTCCTTCTTATATTTATATTGAATTCGTAGGCCTGATTTTTTTCTTTTCAAACGCTTCTGGATTGGTTGTTATGAGTTTGAACATTCACTATCAGAAGAAGCCTGCAATTTCTTACTTACTTACTTCTGTTTCACAGTGTATAACAGTTTATCCGATGTATCTCCTAGTTTAGTAAGACGGTGAAAATTCTTGTAATGCAACGTTGCATAACACTGCCTAAGATTGCCTGTATTTTGGAGAGTGCAATTCACTAAAAGGTGAAATCTCTCCACATATGATATATATATTTTTGCATATTTTCAGCATCTTCTTGAAGGTTGGAAGCACTTATTTAATTTTAATTTTAATTTAATTTGTTGTTCAGCTAAAGCTGTGTATACTTATATGCAAAATGAATATCGTTTATTTTTATAAGATTTTGAGTATTTTCGATTTGCAACATTTGCGATTAAACCGAATTTATTTTTGCGTATCTTGCATATTTTGATATGCTTTGCATTTACATAATAGACTTGCATATTTTGCATATTTTAAGATGTATTTAAATTTTTGTTAGATTTAATCGATTTTAATTTGAATTTTTAATACATTTTTGCGGATTTTTATAACGGACGCGATCATGAAACATACATCAATAGTCAGAAGGAAGATTTTTATTGATTTAATTGATGTTTAATTTCATCATTTCCAAACTATTTTATCTTTCTCTTTCTCTACGGTGCTGATGGGTGATGTTGTGGAAGGTTTGGAAATTGCTCCCAATAGTTTGTCGTTTTCTAATGCACCTATTACTTTTGTTGATGTAGAGAGAAGTTTCTCTGATTAGTGTTTATAAATTAATTCTTAGCGACAGGAGGCAATCATTTCCTGCAGAAAACTTAGAGAAACATCTTATTGCTAGTGTTTATCGTAATTCCTTTTTTATTAGAAATTATACAACATATATAATTTTGCATATGTGTGCATATACATCAAAACTGTTTGCATATTTTTCACTAATATTCTGCATATATATGCGCATATTTTACCATTTATTGTGTATTAATACAGGTAGTAAAGAAAATTCGGAAGAAAATTAAAAAAAACCATTTTTTAGATTACTTATTAACAGTTGATTTTATCGAAAAAGTACTTATAACAACATTTATAGCACATTTTTTTTTGTTAGTTTTAAAGGCCTTCCAGCATATCCCCTATTATATATAAGTCTTTTCTTAATTTTTTTATAACTTTTTATTTTTATTTTACAGGAGTTGGCCGTATCTAGGATTTTTATTGCCCTAAAAAGGGTTACCTAGACTTCGTTGCCCGTCCCTAACCACTTGGAGGTCCCTGTATATTTATTTAATAGTTTTATTTAAATTGTTGCTTAATTTTCTTTTTTGAATTTTGCTGCAAAAATTTCCGAAAATGCTTCTGACATTTTTTTCTTGTAAACATTGATTTTTGTTAACAGGCCAAATAATGATTCCTTTCGATTCCAATAAATTTTTAAAGTCTTCTCTCTCAATTTTGAATTCTTCTAATGTTCAGCACTTTCTATTCCATTTTCGCACGTACACATGTTGGTTTCACTTTTTTTAATTTTATAAGAATAAGAATTGAATAATCCTCTATTAGTTATAATTTATAACACCCCTATATTTATGTTGCAAAATTTCCATTTCAATCTATTTATTATATTTGGTATATTGATATGTTTCCCTCCCCTCGTCCGATTGATCCCATTCCTCTTGCCATTTATTTAAATAATATTGTTCAATTTGTTTTTTAATATCAACTTAATTTTCCTTCTTCCTCTTCCAAATTTTCTAAATTTTTATGTGCTTTTGCCGGATGTCCAAAGTTAATTTTTGTTTTATTTTTTGTATGTGTTATAATTTATTATGTTTTCTCCTAAAGTAATGTTTTGAGCCTTTCTTAAATTAAAATTTTGAATTTTTAATTTTATCTTCAATGTAATAGGCATTGTTCCAGATATAATTGTTATAGAATTTGTTGCAGTTTTATCATATATATTAAAAATTCTTCTTAAAATATAAGATTGAATACTTGTGATTTTTATTTCTTGTATTTTAGTTATCCTATTTCCCCATATCACAGCTCCATATAACAATGCTGGCTCCAATGCTCCCTTATAAATAGTTATTAACGTTTTCTTATGTAGGCCCCAATTATCCTACAAGTCCAAATGCATTTTTGAAACAATTGTTTTATTTGACTCGAAATTTTGTCAATATGCATATTAAGTTTTAATTTTTCCTGAATTGTTATTCCTAAATATTTTACGTTATTTTTATTTGTTTATTGTAAATTTTCATTATAGGAGCTGTTTTAATGTCCAAATTTCCTTTAAAAAGTATCATTTCCGTTTTTTCGTGTGATATTGTTAATTTATTTTCAGTACTTTCAGTAATTTTTATTATTTTCTACAATACTTTTATCTTGTTTTCCGAAATTTATATCAAATGTAATGGCATTATGATCGCTAACTGTGTAAATTTTCATTTATTTTCCAATTAAATATTTTATCCATTAAATTATTACTAATTAAAGTTAAGTTAATATTTGTTAATCCGTTTCCTATGTATGTGTGTGGATTATTAGGTTTATTTGATATTATTGAATTATTTTCTGCTATGAATTGTTCCATTTTTTCTCCTTTTTTTGTCTGTAATATTGTTAAACCACAATGTCGATTTTGAATTATTAATCTAGTGTTTCCTAAAATTTTTAAAATTTTTTCAATTTCTTCAGAAAGAATTTATAATCTTTATCCAGCCTAAACCATTTGTAATTTTTATAACAACATAAAGAGCTTTCATTACCAAAAAAGAATAATTAAATTGGATCAATAATTCCAGAGATATAGTTGATTTTATAAAACTCAACATCCGCCATCTTTGATTGACCGCCATTTCTCTTAGGTACCGCTTTGAGATGGCAATAATGGTTTTTTTGGCATCCTAATAAACCTGTATAAACACTGTAAAAAGGATTGGCCCATGGACTAAAAGGCCAATCTGCTGATGTTGCTAATCGATTCTTTGACATGTACTGGCCTAATATTGGTTGGAGCAGGTAAAAATTATCCGATCAAACTTCATTTTTTAAATGGAACACCCTGCATATTTATATTTAAAAAGATAGCATATTAAGCTCCTTTTTGAAAAAACCCTTAAACATTCATATTGTTCCAAAAAGAATCAAAAAAGATTTAAAAAAATGACAAGGTTTTTTTTGAATCACTTGTGTCTTTTTTGCATATCACACTGGTGTGTTATATTTTTGAAAAGAGAATTAAATATGCTCCAACCCGTTGGAAAAAGAAACACTTTCAGCAAGATGCCCCAAATCATTGCATCATTTTTAAATCAGCCAGGAGTGTTGTTCTATATACAGGATACGGAAGGACTCATCATCGCTCCGCTCCTAAAGCATTGTTTGGGGTTCTGATTCTGACCATGATTACAGCAAAAAAACGTGGTACAGTGCCAAAACAAATCCATTTCTCATTCACACACTCCACGAATCAAAAGGCAACTTTCTTCTTTTGTTGAAAAACGATTAAGGGTGTAGTTTACCAATTTTACTTTTAGAATCTTAATCCTCAGAGGATCTGGGTGTGTAAATGCACCAACAGAAACTAAAGTTAGATTATAACTTTATTCAAAATTGTGGCTCGTGCGTAGTTCAAGTTAAGTAAACATGGGGTAACAAAGTTACATGCTATAACACGTACACTTTCGAAAGCAATTTACACAGTCACATTTTCCATGTAAGAACTTGGCTAAAATTCAAATATGTTTTTGTTGCAGACGTGTGGTGTCTAAAAAGCGTAATACTAACACTGGAGCCGGCAGTCGTACAACGATACCACTATTGCACGTTAATGTGCAATTACGATTTAGAAGGAGCGCCCTTATATACAGTGAAATGGTACCGAGGCCTTCACGAGTTCTACCGCTACACCCCAAACGAATACCCGAACACGAAAATCTTCCCCATCGGCGGAATAACGGTAGATGTAAGTGATATTTGTTATTCTTATCCGCAAAAAAAAAACTTTAAGACAGTTTTCTCCTTTACAGGTTAACCATTCAAACAGCACCCAAGTTGTTCTCCGAAATGTTGAATTCAATTTATCCGGAAACTTTTCCTGCGAAGTTACAACGGAAGAAGGTTTCTCTACCGGATACGATACTAAGACTATGTTGGTTGTTCGTAAGTGAGAAATTCCTGTTGAATTTTATGACTTCTTTTTGAGGTTTCACCACCGAAACATTTCCTAAGAGCTTTTTTTTTGGGCGCTAATGTTTCCGTGATAAACTTAAACGAAGTTGTCTCGGGTAATTAAAGGTCGGTTACAAAATAATCTTTAACTTTTTTTATTATGCGGAATAATGTAAGTGGACACGAAATTCATCATAACCCAGAGGGAGATTAAGAAAAACCGAGAAAATTAGAATAATATGGCTTCCTTTTAAACTTCATCATTTGCATGTAAATTCGGAACGTAAAAATATAAGCCGCAGATAATTAACACACTTGGGTGCAGATTAAATTAAAATAAAAAAAAATGGTTATGCTCTTACCAATTAAACCTTACGGCTTGAACATGTAGCGCTGTTGAAAACTCGACAAAGGGATTTCGGATTTCCTAAGTAATATTAAAGTTTCAGATATATTGGCTTTCCTAGCAATTTCTCGGGTATACTATTAAAGCGGAAGCAGTTGTGTTTCGAGTATTATTGCAACGTTTTTTTCCCTTTTTTATTCGATATTGTGTTTTGAGATGAATTTGTCCTAATATTTATTGAAATCCCTGGATCTATATTGGAGGTAGTTTCTAGCGTTATTTGTTAGGCGCCCCATTTGATATTTCATTATGTCGTTTACGCTTCGCCTATACGGTGAGTAGGTATGTATTTGTTAAACTCGGTTGCATACTTAGGATTTAAGGGCAAGTGTAAGTAACTGCAACAATCTTACCACAGTATGCAAATTTTAGCCTGTTCTTCTAGAAGATTTTAGTATTCAGTTCAAAAATGTGCATCCCCAAAACGTATATTTACTTAAAGAATTATAATCAACGCAATATCCTGTTCGTGCTTGAATAGAGACTCATAAATATATAAATATACAGGGTGAGTTAGCCTTCTAAACGCGCCCAAATGGCTCAGATTAAAGAAAAAAGTATTAAATAAAAGTTTTTTGGTACGAGAAGCTTTTTATGGCAAAAAGGAGTAATTTTTTCACTCAGTTAGAAACTTCATTAATTCAATTTACTTTCAAGCAAAACGAAAACTTGCTTTTTCCTAACTGATTGGCAGGGGCGGACTGGCCCGGGGGGGCGGGTGGCGATTGCCACCTGGCCTGTACGTCATAATGGCCCGTTGGAAATTTATAAGTATGTGCTGTATTTAGTTTCTTGCACTATTAATAAGTTATTAACACGTTTCTCTAATTGGGGTTGATGTTAGGTTGTTAAAAAATTAAAAAATTCTGTTTTAATTGAAGTGTTTCACAATGAATTTATCATTTTTTGTCGTAGCATGAAAGTGATGAAATACAATGATAGGCGACGCGCCTCGTTTGGATTGTATATTTTGTTACTTTTAATTATCAGCTGCAATTTTTAAAAAAACCTGTATTGTAATTGATTTCCGAAAAAGGAGTACTTTAAAATGAAGCAAAAAATGTTTTTGTGGTGCACCGCAGAGCTACCCCCCCGCCACCTTCATTACTACACTAATACTTTAATAGCCCGTAACCTATGCAATTCCACCTGGCCCGCCCCTGACTAGAAACCAATTTCGAAAGAAAATTCAAAGGGCTGTAACTTTTGAACTAGTGGCCCAATCTTGGAACTGTTTGAAATTATGGATTCTACAGGCCACATTCTATAAGAAAATTTTTTTCCGGGTCGATCTGAGACAATTTTCTTTTCGGGGCTCAAAAAAAGGCAGTGTATAACCTTCCTTTTTTACCAAAAATCGACTGCACCAAAATTTCTCGGGAAAACACTTTTTCTTATTAATTTTGGTGCGTAGAATCTAAAACAAATCGTACTTTTTCGATCGGACGTCTCAATCAAAAGTGTTAATTATCAGCTGCAATTAAAAAAAAAACTGTATTGTAATTGATTTCCGAAAAAGGAGTACTAAAATGAAGCAAAAAAAATGTGTTTGGGTGCACCCCCCCCCCCCCCCCCCACCCCCCCCCCCCCCCCCCCCCGCCACCTTCATTACTACACTAATACTTTAATGGCCCGTAACGTATGCAATTCCACCTGGCCCGTAAGTACCCAGTCCGCCCCTGCTGATTGGTACAATAAAATCAAATAGCAATGTTAACACTAAAGCTAGCATCAAGCTCAAGTGCCGCTTACTTTTGACGAGGAAATCGGATGAATCTTGAGCATCGTATCAGTAGAGCGCGTGCGCGTAATAAACATTAAGATTACTTTATCGCTGGTCAGACTGTCGCCAGTAACTTTCGCAAGCCAGTAACCGTAAATAACGCATACGGGAAGTATTAGCGAGTTTGCGGACACGTATTTTCCGTTACGTTAGACAATCATTTTTTCTTATGATATAACGTAAGGGAAATTTAGTGAAACGCGCTTGCGGATAAATTTATTGTTGCTGGAATTTGATTGGTTTACGTTATTTATAAACATAAGGTTTAAAAGTGTCTTTATACGGTATAATTCTTAAGCTTTTTTACGTTATAAGATATAACGACAAGTTTTGTAACGTAAAATGTACATCCGCAAACTCGCTATTGACCCATAACATATTATTGTGGTGTCGTGCGGTCACTACACCACCCACAAAATACCTGTTCAGCTAGCTCAAAACAAAACAATCTTTAAATTTAGACTTCCGAAAACAACAGAATTTACTACCTGACAATTCTTGGACACAAAAGGAATAATCTCTTAAGGGATTCGAATAAACACACAATTAATTGATTGGCAATGACAAATGTTAATTCAGAAGCACATGAAAGATATAATACAAAATCCCTGAAACAAAGAAACGCTTGCAAAGCTTGTTTGGAAATATTACCCCGCACTCAGGCGGGCAACAAATAAAATAATAAATCTTGAATTACTTGTTTTTTTTAAATCCATATAATCTGGTGGTACAAGGTTTGCGATACAAGGTGCACTAAACTCACACAAACGCTGACAGCTTCCGAATTTCACTTTTTTTAATAACACTGAACTTGACAAAGTCTGGATTGTTGAATAAAATGAACAAATTATCGGTGTCTGTTCGGACGGTAGAAACTTTTAACTTTTAATAAGAGGGGAACTTTAACACAAGAGATTAGAGAATAACGAACTGCGTTTTCAACAAAACACATCCGGCTGACTGTTCGTAATTTAGTGAAAACAAAATTTTCACGCTCTTCAACCGCCGCGAAACCACTTGAATAAATTAAAATTAAACAATAATTACGCAATTATAAAATTTCTAAAGGGAAAAACAACACTGAGATACAAATTCAAATGAAATAAACTAACATTGTGTTTAATTGGTAAATAATCCCCCATGTTAACTCAATAAATTGAAATATTCTCATATACAGGATGCGCCGTCATTATTTCTGGTGTCCGAAATAACGTCTACATAATTTTTACACAACAATCCTATATGCAGATCGTCAATTTTATTAAGAACCCAATGACTTTTTTGCAACAGCATCCGAAAGTGTTGTAAACAGACAAAACGAACATCATCTTGCGAGATGGATTGTAGGAATAAATAAATTCGCGCTCAAAAATGCTCCCCTAAGAAAATTAGCATCCAGTTCATTTTGATTACAAACTAATACTGAAAATAAAAGTAAAGGATTAATACACCCTTCTATAGGTGGGTTTAATTTGACTTGTAATTACATTTTGAACACGATCGGGCCGTTAATTTAAGGGTTTGATTGATTTTACTATTCGAAATAAAACTTAATTCTTTTCTACCCTTAAACTTCTCGAAAAGGGTGAATACAAAAAGGACGAATTTATCTTAATTTACTTTCCTTTTGGAATTAATACCCAGCCGATTCGACGACAGGACCAGCCGTTTGTCGTTATGATCTCTGTAGAGTATTATTGATGCATTACTACTTTCTTAATTTTTGTCCCGTATAAAGGCCATTAATTAGAAAATGCGATCGTTAAGAAATACCGCGCCAGCAGTTTACACGCTGATTCACGAAACGGACCCAACGCATCAGAAACTGTGACGTATAGCCCATTATTCTATCGCTCGTTATCGACCGCCAGACTGGCACTGACAAAATCGAACACGATCCATCAGGTTAACCGCTAAACTTAAGAATTTTTGAAAAAACCAGTTTTCTAATGGAACCACCCTGTATACTTCATAATAAACACGTTCCAACCACCAAAATCTCATAAAAAGCGTTTACACTCATGTGTGCTAATTAAAAAATGTAAAAAATGATAATGTCAACAGATAGTTGAATAAAAATGATAGAGAGCTCCCGTTACAGGTCATAGTTGAGAAAAGGGAGAACCTTAAGAAAACGAGACAAAGCTATTTTGTTAATAAATGTATTTTCTTGAAATCGTCATAAAGCCTTCAATATAAGTACACGCACATATTTAAAATTCACACCTGAAAATATTTTCACCGAAATTGCAATGGTTGATTTATATAAAAATTGCATTTTTTTGAAATAAAACCCCCTGTATTTATATTATTGCATATTTCGATTCCTAGGACAATTTTAGTGTGACTTCATATATATTACACATGAAATTTAAAATGAATCGTTTAACCACAAATCGTTATTCTTCAAAAAGTATACAGGGTGGTGTTTTTAAGTGGAGCATTAGAATTTGCAATAAACATTTGCGTAGCGATCTTAGCTACAATGTAATAAATCAGTTCCAGTTAATCGATAGTTAGCATTCTTCAATTCAAAAGCGAGTAGCTATTTGCATTTCATCCAAAACACGGTACTTCTTTACTGTGATAACCCCATTGCTCGTAACGTACAAAGAAAAATATATCCAAAAACTACAGTGTGAAAAATCAGCCCTAATTCCTATTAATTCGAACTACGTACCCCATTAATAAATGGGTTTCGGATTGCGATATGGGTAAAACAAAGGTAGGTAATTAAATTAACACATATCGCAAAAGGAATCATATACAAATAACTTTACCTCAAGAGAAATACAGCCCTGT